GTGCGACAACGGACGGACGATGCGGACCCATTCGCATGTGCACTTTATGGTTGTAGCCCCACTGCAACAAAATCAGATATAGGTACAGGCTATTTTACGAGAAGAATTTTCAGGGGACAACTCTAGTAAGGTTAATAAATTTACATCCTTTGGAAATGCGAAAAGGAAATATTCTCATGAAATGCCACAAAGAAAGATATCGGCAAATTTTAGGGAATTCTTAATCATTAATGCCAATCTTCTCCTCCTTCCCAAAAATGATTATGCGTAAATACATCAAAACTAACAATCAAAAAGTTTGCTCTTCATCTTATGAGGTGTTTCCATCAATATGAAAAATTCTACTAAGAAGTACTAAAGGAACCAGGCTTCACTTAATTGGTGGATCTTAACGGACTTTATCATCCCATCTTAAATTTTCTGTAATATAATTTTCAATTTTTTGGAGAACTCCATGGGACCATCAAGTTTTAACATGGCCTTGTCGAGGTCATGTAACTTGTGCAGGGATAAAGATTAGACCTAAAATGTGTGTTCTACTTCCTAGTGCTAGTCAACGCTCAACAGGCTATTATTCTATGTCAAGTTATCAAATTAATTTACACTGCTGATACAAAGAAGAAATTGACCGCATATTTGTCATCAGTCTATTTGCCAGGTATAGAACTGTACACTAAAATTCAAGAAGTTTATTTGGAAGGACTTTGGTTATTTATTTACGTGCCAGTTTTTTTAGAGTGCTCTCGAGAATACATATTAAATCTTTGCGTCTCCTCTTTGCGAAAAAGAAGGCAAACGATCGGACGATGCAGAAGTTTCGAAGGAAAAGTGTTTAAAGCAAATCGCGACTTGTTTTCCCCATGATTTGCTTAGGTTCCGCACCTCTTGAATTATTCACAACAAAATCCCTCAATAACACAGCGAGTATGTCGGTGTTGTGGAGAAAAAGAAGCAGTTTGCACTTTTAATCGTACCTCTTCAAGCACTGTGATGTCGTCGTGTTTTTGAATGCAGCACCAATTGATGCAAGTGACAGAAAGGATGAATAAAATAGAGAAGAAAATTAGCCAAACCACCAAAGCGCCGAAGTAGTCGATAACATCGAGGTTCTGTTTCAGATCAATCGACATTGTCAACACTCCCTGAAATTGAAAATGGTGAGCAGCGATGCATTTTAGGCAAGCAGAGCAGCTGTGTAGCAGCAAACAACAGTGTTATTCATACTAGGACAATAGAGATTGTTCTCAGGAATATGTTAGAGGGAATTTTCGTAAACACATGCCAGGCGAGAAAATTCTATCACATTTTAGCTGAGATAAATAGCATAAACTTGAAATACTCAAAGGCCTTGAAGATCGTAAACTTGTGTTGCGGGAAGATGCTGATGTTTTAGGCAAACAGCCACTCTGATGACAACCACTGAGAATACAAATTAGGTGAAAAGCTGAATGAAATATGGAGAGCTCGTATGTGAAAAGGTTGGGCGTCTTATCACTCTGAAGCACGATCGATACATTGTGAAAGTTCAGAAATCATAAGTGGCTTGAGAAGCTTGCACACGATTTTCTGCTTCAAGAAAAATAAAAGTTTTCGAGAAGAAGTAACTGCGATGAGATGTGTCAATCATGGCAATGACAGGTACACTAGCAAACATCTTAGCTTGAATAGTTAACCTGTGCTGTAACAGCTTTCAAAGACGGATAAAAAAACACTGTTCAAGTCGCTTTTGATGTCTTTAACAATGCATCATAGCGTCTTATTCTTTCTGGAATGCAACGTATCAATCTCCCTATCGAGGATCGGGTGCGCTTTAGAATAGAAAATCACCCCTATTCTCCCGATCAAAAAATCCAAGAAGTTTTAGCGTAGTAAGACTGGTGATATAATGCGTTTACAAAGAGTGATTCCATAAATGAAGTTCCAAAAATTAAATTATTTAACTTTGAGCAAACTCGAAGCTAAATTGCAGTTAACCTTCAAGCTAGCTAACTATTAAGACATGAGATGAAACTACAATTTAACTGCGAGTTTCAGTGGTAAGGCGAAAGAACGTTGGAGGAATAGAGACACAGGCATAGCAATGCTCATATCATTAAGAAGTATTCTAGAGAAGCTTTTAATGAAATGAGGAGCACTGCTACACTTTTGTTTTTATTCCTTTCAACCATATCTCACTTTATGTTGTAACCTGGACTCAACTTCCAGCTTCATTTTATCTCTTAACTGCAGCTGACTTGAAGGACCTGCGATTTAGCTCGGAATTTCGTACTGACGTGAATATCGCTTTGTACTGCACATCAGTACCAACGAATCTTTCTCAGTAAAGCTTTAGGAGGCTGTGTTTTATTACTTAGTGTTATATGCAAGAGCTTAAGGATGGGTCAACCCGAGTTTAATACTGCTGATTTCTCTTTATTGGCAGTTAGCTCATTTTGAATGAAATTGGGAGTTAATTGAAAGTTAATGATGATCGTTAATTCGGCGTTCCGATTACATCACAACCACTTAAAAAACTAGAAAGGATAGCAATCTTTTGACTTGGATGTTCCATAGACAACATTGTCTTAGCGGTCAATCATTAGAGCGAAAAGTTTTATATTCTACGGGAACAAAAAAGCCAATCATGTGGTAGTATGAAAGGTGGATGCTTTTCGGACGTTTTACTACTAGCTGTCCCAATCGCGTGATTAAATACTACTCATAATATGAGAAATTAGTGATAATGTAAGTGCATCATCCAATGCCCTCCAGGTTCTGCATGTTCACATCCTGAACATGGCTCATCATAAATGACCTAATAACATTTTTATGTCTCCAGTCGGGCTTCACGAGAACGAAACCCGCTCGGGAAATTTACTGAGCCCCTCTGTAACGCTTAAAGAGTGTGCAAATAGGATAAGTACTGCTGTGCTGTTTATTTGGAACGCGTTTTTCCTAAGGTTAAACAGTGTAAGGACCTAGCAAGGAAGGGAGGAAGTAATTTGACCTGTAATTGCGCTATAAGTGGGACAGCGGGTGCATAAAAAAGTGTATAGTCTGAGGAAAGCAAAATGCAAAGAAATGTTTGCTAATAGGAGACCTGAGTCTCTCGCAGGTCTCCGCTGGAGTTCTAAATCGCAAAAAAGGTACTTTCTTATTCTTAGATTTTAAAAGATTTTGCTAGTCCTTAAACTTCTTGCTACGCATCTTCTTCCCACATTTGGAGGCTGCTCATCAACTATTCGCTTGAAAACGTGTTTAAGTAAATTAAAAATTTGTATAAAAATCTCCGCAGATGCGCTTTCAAGCCATGGAGCATATTTGTGGACATGTTAACTATCTGGTAGGTAGGTATCGGAGGCGACTATTGAGGAGAAAGAAAACGGAAAGAGGAATTACGATCCCAGATTTCCGGATCCCCGCATAATTTCCCCTTTGCTATTTTTCCCAACGATTTTCCAGTTTGCCCTCCGAGGACCTACTGCTGAACCTTATTAGGAAGCTACCTCTTGGCAATTTTTT